ACAAACTAATACGGCATCAGATTTTTACATATTTATACTTCTCATTCAACCACAATTAAATACACTCTATCTAGGAGACACAATTTATATAGATAGTTTTTATTTTTTGCAATAACCTGGAATGAAAACAAGCAAAAACKAAATAAAGTAACGACGTTCTACTTGCCTTTTTTAAAAATGTAAGGAGTAGAAAGTACAGATAATAGTGTGAAAATGTAAGAAGTAGTAAAAAGTAAGCTGAAAAATAATTACTCGAGTAAAGTATGGAWACCCAAAAATTCTACTTAAGTACAGTAACAAAGTATTTGTACTTAGTTGCTTTACAACTCTGAGTGAATGTTTTTCCTCTTTCAGGTGGCAGAAAGCTGCATCCTCTCTGAGCGCTGGCATGATCGATCCTGCTAATCTGAACCTCTGCATCGATCACAGAGAAATATGGAGAGGGGGGCTGGTCATCAGAGAGAAGAAGGTAAAAGTCTGGGTGTCATAGTCCACCTTTTGTGAAAGGATCTTAAAAATAACTTGTTTTGTAAGGTTGGGTGGTAACATGTTGAAATAYGTCTTTGAAAACGTTCRCTAAACCTGAAAGCGTTTTTGTGAAAAGCCCTGGCATCTATAAGATGAGCAGTAAGTAAGAGGGTGTGAGTTCATAAACCTTCAGTGTTCAAAGGATTTAGGCTYATTTGGGAGCTGCACTTGTACAATGACTGCTTCGGCACGTACTTCAGAGTGAGCWTGGAGCAATGTAACGACCTGTTGAACAGAGTCACATCCAGAGAGCCCAGTAGGTGGATACTTATTTCAAGCTGCAGCAGGAATAACTAGTTACTTCTTTGATATTTTTCAGTCTTCCAGCTCYCAACCAATGTGAAACTTGTACAATTTTTGTGCTTGTGCATCCATCTCCCCTAATTTGACCACTAATCTGATGCCTCTCTCCAACGCTAGAAAGTCAAGCTATATGGATGTAATCAAAAAGAAAAAATAAGTACCGTACTTTTCGGACTATAAGCCGCACCCGCCATTTAAAAAAAACAAAACCGCTCAAACATCAACATAT